GCGATTTTTTTACTGTGAGTGGCTTGTTTTTCAGTTTTTAATTAAAATTTGCACTTCTACATATAATGCCATATTGGGGATGACCTTGGCTAAATTCTTTCCATGTTTTACTCTTTAATTACCATTTGAAGTCAAGGATCCAACTGTTAATGGTCTGGGAGATGTAAGAGGCAACTGGGCTGCAACTGGAGCTTGTTAATATGAATGAAGGCAGTGTATACTTTATATAGCAAGAAGCAAAAAACTGAACCTTATTCCTGATATAATTGACATTGACTTACATGAAACTCTTTTTCCACTGTATTACATCTCATGTAAGATCCAAAGTATCTAAACTTGTGACAGTTCTAAACTTGCATCACTTTTAATCTATTTACGAATTAACTTGTGTAAACTAATCCTAATGCAAGATAACGTGTTAATTTCCAATATTAATTTTCGTTCTCCTCTTGTGACTGTTCTATAGAACTTGCATCACTTTTACAAGTAGGACACTTTTTACTCATGATCTTAGTGAAAGCTATAGCAAAATATGAAACTGACCTTTACACTTATAGGGATGCTCCTATTAGACAGTATTCATGTAGCAATTCCAAAGTGCTTTATGCTGCAGTGTACATTTCAAATTTTCCAGATGAGTTTGCTGTAAATCATTTGACGTGTCTTCTCCTCTCTGTTACATTCTAAAACTCCAATGAAGTTGTTGATATATGAATAAGGGAAGTTTATTTTTTGCATCATTATTTAAACAATGGGATTTATATGGGTGCTTGTTTATTCATCAAATCAATATTTGATTTTATAATTATGTAGAGCAAAGACTTAAGTATAGTAGTGCAGGTTTTCTTCTTGGTGCTGGAAAGCCGTACCATTCGTTAGCACTTCTCGGCATGGTTGTCCCACAAGTTTTTTTTCAGGTAATGTTACCTTTCTTACAACTCTTCGCGACTAGTTCTGCACTTTTAGTTATTACTACAGCTTTGTTGTAGATATTTTAGAAAGATACCTCACATTTTAAACTTTAGCCTGACAGCTTAAAAATTGAAAGCCCCCCATCCCCCGCAGATAAAAGGAAGAATCAGAAAATGCCTTTCATGCAGAGCACACACTGTTAAAGTATCATCAGCATTTTCCATAATATTGCCTAGAATCACACAAAAAGAAACTGTTTTCTTCTTTACATAACCATTCTATTAGCTGATGGATGATCTGATTTTATAGTTGCTGAGTTCTGTAGGGTATGATTTTATTGTGTTTGAAATCCGTAGTTAAATTAGGCCCTCGCTGGTTTTGTGTCCTTGGCTCCAACACTGCTAGGAATTCCAATTTAAAATTTCAGCTTTGATGAAGTGTTATGAAAATGTTACATATAAAGCTGTGATATGCTTCTGACTCATGAATGTGCCATCGCAGTTCAAATACTTCCTCAGAGACCCGGTTAAGTATGATGTCAAATATCAGGTACCTCGTCTTTCCTTGTGCAGCAATAGCTATAATGCCAAATATTCCTCATCCTATTATTTGAAACTTAAATGAATTGAATATACATTTCTGATATACAGTATTGGACATTGGAGTCTTAGACAACTACAATGAACTAAAGATTTTAGTCTCAGATAAATGATCCTTTTGTCTATGTATACTCAAGATAGACGCTGTTCTGTTTCAGGCTAGTGCACAACCTTTTCTTATACTTGGTCTATTGATCAGCGCTATAGCAACTAGCCATTCATCTTCGTCTTCGTAGTAGAGTTGATATCAAAAGCGTAGGAGAAGAGCAAACAAGCTAGTCCGAATCCAGTGAAGAAAGTGTAGCTTTCGCAACGTGGAACACTTGATAGAAACGAGAGATCATTTTTTTTTATCTGAAGCAATTCCTTTCCATGTTGAAATTATAATAGGGAGTTGCTTAAGTCTAAATATACTGTTTCTTCTCCCTTGAACTTTTAAATTTGTTGTCATTCTTGAATTTGAGACAGCGTTGGTAAGATAGATTGGTTACTTCATCGAGGTAATTAAAGTGTAAGGGGTTTTGTGCTGTGCCGTGTTAAAAGAAAATATAAGTATTCATTTTTATTTGAAAAATTATAAGAATATTTATATTAGGAGATGCCGAGGAAAACTTTGCTCTGTACGAAATTAGATGAAATAGATTTGAACAATTTATTTTTCAGTTAAAAATATTTTTTTTTCTCAATAGTAACTCTTACAATCTTGTGAAAATTAGTAGTTTATTTATTTTTAATTATAGAAGATTGTCTAATTTAAAACTTTACCTATTCTTAAAATCTAGGAGTAAGTCCGTTTGACATGACTTTTGCTTTCGCTTTGACTTCTAGTAGAAGATTTTTTGGATGAAACTATTTAAATTTTTGTTTGAAATTTATTTTTTGAAAGAGCTCCAATTTAGAAATATTTTTATAAGTCATATTAAACCAACTTTCTCTAAAAATTCTTCTAACTAAAAGAAGCAGTTCCATAAAAATAGTCAAACAGTTTCAAAAGTAAGATTGTCTAATTTAAAACTTTACCTATTCTTAAAATCTAGGAGTAAGTCCGTTTGACATGACTTTTGCTTTCGCTTTGACTTTTAGTAGAAGATTTTTTGGATGAAACTATTTAAATTTTTGTTTGAAATTTATTTTTTGAAAGAGCTCCTATTTTAGAAATATTTTTATAAGTCATATTAAACCAAGTTTCTCTAAAAATTCTTCTAACTAAAAGAAGCAGTTCCATAAAAATAGTCAAACAGTTTCAAAAGTAGCTTTTGGATTTTAAAAACTCTTTTTGACCTTTTAAAATTCATTTCAAACAGGCTCTAAATAAGTTCACTCGTAAGAAATTTTTACTTATTCACTTATAAGTGATGTTTGAGTAAATAAGTATACTTGTTTACGAAAATATGCGACCATGACATGCATAATTTGTCTTGTATCCCTCTAATACTACAGTTACTATTTAATCATGATTGATGAATAATTAGTGTTCATTTGATTTGTTTGGATACGCCAAGGATACGCCAAAGGTGGTTGATGTTTTGAAAAAGGGAGCAGCTATTTTCATTCACAATTTTTATATATCCATCCACTTTTAAAAAAATTACATATTACATTTTTGACATTATGTAAATTTATTTAAATAGATAAGAATAATATTAAACAAATTTTATTACTTTAAATTCATATATTTATCTACAACCAGCGATTAGAATGAAAATGATAAAACGGAGGTCTCCCACTTCTATGGGGCGTATGGGATACTCAACAAAGAAAATCAAAGAGCATTAAAGTATAGAATTTGTTGTCTATCATTTTATTTTATTTTTATTTTCGTAGAAATCTTAATAGTACAAACATTCAAGCAAATAAATAATGATGGAATTTGTGAGGATAATAATGTGTTATTATCTGAAATGAGGTAATTCAAATATTGTGATCAGTAGCATTTTGATAGAGTTAGGACAACTATAGAATTTTTTGGGGAAAAAAAATAAAAATAAAAAAACAAACTAAAAAAATTGTGGAGTCCACTTGACCCCATGTGGGTCCATCCCTGTAAAGCTTGCTTCTTCTTCTTCTTCTTCATATATATATATATATAAAAATGTTAAAAATGATCCACGAACATTTTTCTCATGTTCATATCCAAACTTTTTGTAGATCCAACAAGAATTCAACTCCTTCAGGAATCATTGCTGGGAAAATTTCATTTCTAAAAAGGTAAGTATACCCCTTTTCAAAATTAAGAACAAAGTTTTAGAATTTCAAAAATCAGATTTTTTTAATTTTATTTATAAATTAATTTATTAAACATATATTTTATTAATTAAATATATTTAGGTCACAGTTTTTGGTCACAAATACCTATTTAATTAGTCGTAGATTAATTTTAAGCCACAACTTGTCAAATCCATATTGGTCATAATTTATTTTTTGATCACAAATCGAAAATTTTATAGGCCATAATATATTTTTCGATCACAAATCTAGAAATATTATGGGTCAGATTATTCATCGGTCACATAATTGAAATTTTTATTGATCACAATTTATTTACTTATTGTAAATTATTAAATTAATTGATCACATTAACTTTTCGATCGTAGATTAATCAATTGGGAGTCACAACTGGAGTCACGATCATCATTTTCAGGCCACAGACCACCAAATAGCATCAACAATTCCACCAACACAGTGATAGAAACCAACCATCACAACCCATGCCAAAACACCATAACTACTGCCAGATCCGACCAACATCACCACCACTAGCCGCCCAAAACCACATTGACCATCAGATCACGTCACCCACGCCATCCCAAACACAAAACCTGGCCACAAACACCACCACTATCGTCGGCCGCTCGGCGCTCACAGTAGATCGATTAAATTTTTTTTCCAAAAAATCAACCACCAGATTAACCCCCTGCCACCACACACACAGACCACCCGCCACCACGACCACCACCACCGCACAGTAGATGCAATAGGAAAAATTTCAACACAATCGAGGCAGCGTGCAGATCGGCGCTTCACATCGTAGGACCTGCACCAACCACATCGGGACGAGGCTGACCGTACAAGGCCGTCGATGGTGGTGCGACGGAGGAGAGTAGCATTGTGATGAGGGATTAGTGGCGGCGAAGTGAGGGAGGAGAGAAGATGAAGAGAGGAATGCAATGGAACTCGTCTGTGGAGTGATACGAGAGAGAAAATGGTTCTAGCTAGGGTTGGAATGAAATAATGTATTTAATTATTCTTTTAATATTTACATACGATATTTCTGATTTTTGAAAATTGAAAGTTCCCATCTTATTTAAGAAATCAAGATTTTAACTCTAGGGATCTATGTAATTTCCACATCATTGCTGGCATGTTGTGATTTTGGAGTTTGATTTGGGACATACTCGATTATGGATTTTGGGTTTTCAATCTGGATTTTCTTGATTGGGAAAGAGGTGGGGAAGGCATAAATGAATGAATATATTAGGGCCCATTTGCTTTTTGGTTCAATTTTGAATTTTGAGTTCATTTTCTATCTTGAAGTTTTGCTTTAAAATTTCTAAAACGTGTTTGGTTTTCCATTTTGAAAATTTATTTTATTACATTTCATTCCATTAAATTGGATTATTCAGTAAAGTAGAACTATATTATCAAATATTATATACATTTTAAAGCTGATAAATCTTATAATATTTTTCTCATTAAAAATTTAAAATAACAAATAATACATTAATTTTAAAATATATAGTAAAAAACAAAACTGATGCGTGGGGTTAAAATATTTTTGTCTATGTTCATTTAAATATATTTTTGAAATTTTTTATGTAAGTAATCATTAAAAACTAGAACTATTTTTAATTTTTATTTTCCAAAAAAATTTAATAATCATTATTTTTTTTCTTTAGAATTTTAATTTTAGTCTTTTAGAATTTTATTATTTGGAATTTTTTTATTTCATTCGTTTCAAATTTTCATTTTTTAGAATTTATCATTTTATTTTTTGTATTTAATAATATTCTTTGTTAGAATTTTATTTGTTTATTATTAAAATTTTTTATTTTTTATTTAAACGCTTGTTTTCTCTATTTTTAGTGTGTTCAGAGCTTTAAGTGAAAACGTTCAAAAGGTTAAAAATGTGTTTTGAGTTTAATGTTATAAACATATCTTTGTTTCCGAAATGCATCTTCATAAATTACAAATTAAGCATGTTTTCAGTGTTTCACAAAAATGAAAACTGAAATTGACTAGAAAGCAACAAACCAAACCCAGCCTTACTTTTTAATGGGATATTCAAGTAATTAAAACAAAGATGAAGTATTGGAGATGAATTTATTGACTTTCAAAGTTACTAGTCAGAGTTGAACGTCCATTTTACGTTATTTTGAAATATTTTATAAGTGATATGAATGTAATATTTGAAAATGCGTAAATATAAAAAATAATTAATAAAAATAAGTTATGTGAAATGAACTTTTTATTAAATGAGAATCTCTTTATACTCTATTTTTTGTGTGTTTAGGGATATGTGATTTAACTAAACCTTTGTGGTTGCTATAGAAATTCCTCTTGAAAGTGGTTGTTTCATTCACAAATATCCTAACAATTAGATAATATATTTAATGTAATAAAATTAATGTATATAGAATATTACTATATAATTTGATAAAATTTCGTTTTATGTTATATTTACTTTTATTTAAAAGTTGTTTTAATTGGTAGTTACACGTGAATCCCTAAAATACCTAATTTTAGATAAAAAGGGAATATCAAATGATGGGGTAATTATGTTTCCACTAATTTTTATTTTATTTTTTTCTTTTTTAATTAGGCAACATTATAACTGCAATAAATATTTATAATTTTTGCTCATTTCATACTAAAGTCCTCAATTGTTTTTCGTCATATTGTTATCAGTATATGAAACTAAATAAATTATTTTAACATTATAATATTTGTTGAAATTCTAAATCATTAGCACACAACATTAACAGATTAAAAATTTTAATATAAGAGAGAACACACGATGAAGGAAGGTGGAGAGAGTTTATTAAGGCCAACTTTTTCAATTTCCTGCCAATAGAGACCACGTGAAAAGAATTGAGAGATGACTATTTTTATAAGTAATAATTAATATAAAATAAATGAGAGGGGAATTGTAGGGTTGTTTTGTGTGTAGTACATACATTATGTAATAAATATAATTAAGATCATTATAACTATAAAAATCAATATTTCTCATTTTAGAACTATTGACAATGAAAGCAATCTGTTGTGGGCTAGAATTTCTCAAAACTCAAAAATAGCCTAGATGATGCTTATGTATATGAATGTATTCATGTTCGATATTGGAGTTTTGGAAAAGTTGATTTGCGTGAGACAAAGATTCTACAAATAAAAAATATGGCGGTTTTGGTGTTTAACAAAATTTTTGATTTTACTAAAAAAGATAGTCTTGTAGTAATGTCCATCTAAATGTTGAACATAAGCTACTTATAAGTTGATGAGTGCTGTGAATTTTTTATTTTTATTTTTTTGGTAGCAATTAATTAAGCTTGGTCTCATTTCAATTTAATT